CCAGGGGACGGTCCCTCCTGCCCCGTCCAGCTCCTGGGGGCTCCAGGCGTCCCTGGGCGGGTGGCCGCCTCCCCCCCGTCTCTGCCTCCGTCTCCACGTGGCGTCCCCTCTGTGTCTGTGTGTCCCTCCTCTTCTGTCCCCGATAAGGACACTGTCGTTGGGGTCAGGCCCCCCGTGACCCAGGACAACCTCCTCTCAGACCCCTCACTCGGTCCCATCTGCACAGACCCCGTTTGCACACAGGGTCCCGCCCGCAGGTTTGAGGGTCAGGACGCGACGTCGCAGGACGCGGTGCTCGGACGCCCTCCGGTAAACGGCTGTGTGTCCCTCACGGCAGGTTCACGGGCACGGACACGGACACGTATGCGCCGTGCCCCACGTATATTCTCCAGGACGGCCGCACGGCCGGCTGCCTGCTGGACGTCCCCGGGGACGAGATGCTGTATGTTTCCATCTGGAACGGCACGTCCTCTGTTCTCACTTGGAACTCCTGGATCCGGCTGTTCTGTAAGTGCCGAGAGCCCCGAACCCGCCCGGCTCGGCTGCAGAGCCCCCCGTTCCGACCCGCGGCCCAGACGAGGCCGTGCGTCCGGGACGGCCCGTGTCCACACGCACGCGAGGGGCAGAGACAGGGGCTGCACGGCGTGGGGAGGCCACGTGCCCCCCGTGAAGGCTGTCCTTTCAGAGCAGGAGCCACAGAGGCGGCTCACGCGCTGGGCGTCCCTCCAACGTGGGGACAGAAAGCCCGCCTGCCCCCGCCTCCCACCCCGTCACTTTCCCCGGAGGCTGCCCGTCTTGGAGGGGAGACAGTGTCCCAAAGAAACCTCCTCTCCGAAATACTCTTTATTGTACGTTTCTTAAGACGGTGTTTTCCCCCCCAGAATGGGGCGTCACAGGCCCATCTCAGCACCTGAGCTGTACGGACCCTCTGCTCATAAAATCCCTCACGGACCGTCTGTGGGCGTCCGAGGGCTGACGTCACTCACGTCCAGAAACTGGCAGCTTAAACTAAAATGTATTTTCTCCCCCGTCCTGGAGGCCAGGAGGCTGCCGCCACGCTGCCCCAGGGCCGCGCTCCCTCCGGAGGCCCCAGGGGACGGTCCCTCCTGCCCCGTCCAGCTCCTGGGGGCTCCAGGCGTCCCCTGGCGTGTCCCCGCGTCAGCCCCTGTGTGCCTGTGTCTGCGCGTGGTGCCCGCTGTGACCCCAGGCCTGAGGCGGCTCGGTCTCCGCAGAGGGGGCCACCGTCCTCGTGTGTGTCGTTCGCAGTGAAGCCCAATCCCCCCAAGGACCTGAGCTACCGCTGGCACGAGGACGCGCTCAAGGTGACGTGTCCCAAGCTGCCCTTCCCGGACTTGCTGTACGAAGTCCAGCACAAGAGCACCTTTGACAGCGAGTGGCAGGTGAGCGCCGGGCGCCTCGTCCGGGCCCGTGTGATGGCGGCGTCCAGGTGTCAGGGGGAGGATTGTTCATGTGGCTGTAGTGCCTGGCGCGTGTCCGGCCAGCAAGCGACCTCTCGGGCACGGGTCTGGGGGGCGGTTGGGGGGCCCCAGTCCTCCCCGTCTGCAGTCCGGCTTCTGTCCTCGCAGCCCTTCCACTGATTAGACGAGGCTCACCTACATGATAGACTGACTTACAGTGAACTCATCACAGCTGTTAATCAAGCTGCAAACACCTTCACGATGGCAGCCAGTGAAAAGAATCCACAGTTTTTCTTTTCCTTTTTTAAGGACGCGCTTGTCCCCACGAAGGAATTCTCCAAAATCGTCTGTATGTTGTTTGTGACACAGCACTGTTTTCACGCTTTCCGGACGGGAACACAGAGGCGGCGGCGCGTTCGTGTCTGGCTGGCGCTGTCCTGGGCGTTGAGACAAAGTGGCCCAAGAGAGCCGAGACCTGGTGTGACGCCCTGGCATGACGGCCACATGTCCAGGGGTCGTCCCTGACGGCCGCGTCCGTTTTCTCTCCCCAGGCCAAGGAGGAAGAGGCATGCAATGTAACGATACAGGCTCTGGACGCCGAGAAATGTTACTTAGTCCGGGCCAGGGTGAAGGCCATGGAGATCACCTACGGTTTCGACACGTACCCCAGCGACTGGTCAGAGGTGGCACATCTGCAGGGGGCTGAGCTGCGAGGTAGGGCCCGCTACGCAGCGGTCAGATAATAACAGATAGACGGATGAGGGACGAACAGCCGGCCGCCCAAATCCAGCCCTGACACCCGAGCCCCCAGCCGCACAGGCGCCGGGCCCCCCGTCGGAGCCCACTCACACCATGTCTCCCCCGGGACTTGCCTCCCCGACACCTCGCCTTGCTGCCGCTGAGCTGCATGGAGGAACAGCGTGGTGGGAGGGGGAGACGTCTGGAGCCCCCACGCAGGGTCGCGTTGACGGCTCACAGCACCAATGCATTTTGCTTTAGATTCCTGCCCGGAGATAAGGCTCTTCCCAAAGTTCCTTTTAATTTGTGGCATGGTTGCCTTCCTGACCATGGTCCTCGTCTTCCTGTTTGTGTGGAAGCTACGGAGGTAAGGACGACGCCCGCCTGTCTCACGTCTCACACACACACACACACACACACAGACCCACCTCGTCCACTTTTTAACTGCAGCTCTAGACATAGCCAAACAATATCCTCCGAGGCCAAACACGAGCTGGGCTGTGTCAGACGGCTTGGCAGCTGTGCCCTCCCGGCTCCGCTCAGCACGGACGTGGACGCCTCATTTAAGTCTTCCCAGTGGCCCATTGTGTGCTGGGGAGGACACGAGGCAATCAGACATGTCTGGACTGGGGGCGCAAACAGCAGAAATGGATTCAGTCCCAGTCCTGGAGGCTGGAAGTGCAGGATCCACAATTTCTCCTGAGCCCTGAGCGCTTAGCTTGTAGACAGCCGTCTTCTCTCCATGTACTCACAGGGCCTCTCCTCCACGTGCACGCACAGCCCTGGTGTCCCTGCCCCTTCTCATAAACCCACCAGCCATATCAGATTAGGAGCACATTGAATGACACCCTCTTGGGTTCTGTACCTGGGGTCCTGTGAATTAAACTGACCAAGGACCGCTAATAGGAGAAAAGGCATATGTTTCTTTATTGATGTAATTCTGTTTTACATGCATGGGGGCTTCAAAAAAAACAGATAACCCCCTCTCGCTTCCCCCCCAAAAGCAGTTAGTCTGGGGGGCTTATATACCATTTTAACAATGGGTGATAAATTGGGCAGCAGTGGTTTTGGAGCTCTGGGCAGGGTGTACATTGAGGAATGGTGACTAAGAAACGTTTGAAGGAAATGAAGGGTAGATAAACGTTGTCTCTATGGAATTATCTCTGTGCCACCTCTGGTGATAAGCCTCACCCTCCATTTCCTGGTAAAGGTGGCGGGGGCATGTTCACAAATGGAAACTTTTTCTTGCTTTGCACAGCAAGAACTCCATGTCCTGCTCCTGGGCCCGGGCGGGGGAGGTACAGAGCCTTTCTCTATTTCTCCAGGGCCTTCCGCTCAAAATAAGCAACGTGTCCAAGGGCCATGTTTTTGGGGTGACATCTGCTGCCCCCAGGCTGCACCTTCATGGCCTCATGTACTTTCAATGACCTCTTAAAGGCCTCACCTCCAAACACAGTCACCTTGGGGTGCGGGTGGGTTCAGGATTGAACCTATGAATATCAGGGAGGCGGGGACGGGGGACACAATTCCGTGCCAAACACCAAGGAAATGGAAATAAAACTTCCTGGGTGATAGGGATAGTTACTCTATAGGAAGGTGAACCCCCACATCACACTCCTGCTGGGTGGGCTTCCCGTGGACGCTGAGAGTAGGGTGCCAGCCAGGGAAATGGAGGGGGGCACGTGCCTTGACACAGAGGGCGCCATTCCATCCGGGCGCCGAGTCCCTGTGGCTGAAATCTCCAGCCACCCTCAGCCCCTGGTAGGGGCCTGTGTCCCTCAGATGTCCACTCCCCGTCTGACCAGATTCGCCGTGTCCATTTCAGGATGAAGAAACTGCTGATGCCCAGCGTGCCCGACCCCAAATTCACCTTCCCCGGGCTGTTCGAGGCCCATCGGGGAAACTTCCAGGTAACGGCCGCCTTTCTGGGCCTGCCCCATGGCCCTGCGTTGTCCCACGCTGATCGCGCCCCAACGCTGTCTTCTCGGCAGCACCGGTGCTGCCAGCCCTTTCTGATCTGAAAACGGCAACTTCATCACTTTGCTGTTTCTCGGTCAGAGAACAAGAGAAGCTGCAAAGGTCTCAAACAACAGCTTCTCCTTAAATCAGCCCCAGAGATCAGCACCCCCACCGGGGCGCTCAGGCTAATCGCCTTCTGATCTCATCAGGAAGTCAGGCTGTCGGCGTGCTCCCTCCGTGGGGCCGCACACAAAACCGTGAGCTTCCGCGGTCCAGTGTGTGTGCTCGTTATTTCATTCCTTGGCTAAGTGCTCTGGAGGGCTGAGCGCCAGCGGGCGGGCAGTGAGGGGCCGGGGACCAGCCCCCGCCCCCCAGGACCTCACCAGATGGTGGAGAGTCAGGCGTGGGTTTTATAGGACAATGTGAGGAGAGCTTTGTGAGTTCTCGGGGGCCTGTGACAAACTGGGGGGGCTCAGAACATCACAAATTTATGGAGGCCAGGAGGCTGCCACCAAGCTGTCCCAGGGCCACGCTCCCTCCGGAGGCCCCAGGGGACGGTCCCTCCTGCCCCGTCCAACTCCTGGGGGCTCCAGTTGTCCCTGGGCGGGTGGCCGCCTCCCCCCATCTCTGCCTCTGTCTCCACGTGGCGTCCCCTCTGTGTCTGTGTCCCTCCGCTTCTGTCCCTGATAAGGACACTGTCGTTGGGCTCAGGACCACCTTAGTCCAGGTCGACCTCGACTTAATTTGTTTACATCTGCAAAGACACTATTGCCAAATAAAGTCTCATTCACAGGTGCTGGGTGTTAGGACTTGAGGACATATTTATTTTGGGGGACGGGGTTTGCACCATTCAACTTGCTACAAGAACAAGGTGACTTTGAAAACGATTTAGGTGTAGGAGAGGAAAAACGTCAAGGGGGACAACACACTTTACCCTCTTAGGTTCTGTGTGCGAGGGCTGCAAATTAAATGGGGAAAAAAAGGACAGATTCAAAAGACAGATTAACAGGAAAAACGGTTTCTTTCACAAGCACACGATGGGGGTGTTCACAAAAAAGAAGGGAAAACCCCAAAGAGGTGGTTAGGCCTTGGAGGGCGGGGGAACAAGTCATTTTAATGAAGGGTGATAGAGTGGGAATAAGAGATTAGACGGAGGGGGAAAGCGTTTGGGCTTGTGAGTGGCAGCTAAGACGTGGGAGGTGAGTAGGAAATGCATGATACGTCAGGGCGTTTAGGAAAGTTTGCTATAGAATAATTCCTTTCTGGCTTGTCTCTGGACTGGGAGGCGTGAGGAGGGCTCCTTCACAAATGGGATTTTGTTTATAATCGGGAAATTGGATGACATGCTTTTTTAAACAGCAAGCAGGAAGGCAGAGAGGCCCTCCCGTGTTTTGTTGATTTTTAACTGCCTGCCGCTGAACACAATCGTCACGCCAAAGGGGCCCTTTTTTTTGGGGGGGTGGGGGTGCAGTGTCCTGAACCTTTTCAATGAGTCAGGCGTTGCGGTGGATAAGAAAGTCCTCATGTTAGCGTCTTCGTCAGGCCAGCCTGGCTTCAGACCTGCCTTTTGTCCCCAGCCTTCGAGGACTGGCTTGCCAAGAGGCCAAACGTGACGGTCTTTCGGCTCCATCGGGAATGACATTCTCCCTGGAGGGACCCTGCTTGGTCCCAGGACCGGGAGCGCCCTGGGTGCCGGGAGGGTCTGTGGGGACGCTGCACCAGGGTCTGAGTCACCCTGTGTCACACTTGCAGGAGTGGATTAAGGACACGCAGAACGTGACCCAGCTGGACAAGGTGGAAGAGGGGGAGCAGGAGTGTGTGTTGGAGGAGGCCCCGTTGGTCCAGCACCCCAAGGCTGAGATGGACACGTCCACGGACATGACGACAGACCCCCTGTGCCTGCAGATGGAGGACAAGGAAGCCCCCGGAGACCCCAGGCAGCCCCCGCAGCAGGCCCCCCAAGGCGAAGAGGTGATCTCTCTCGGTGCCTTTACGTTTGTGATGAGTGATAACTCATACGTGACGTTATGAGGGGCTGCAAACTCAAAGCCAATCTCGGGGCTGCGTTGATATTTAAAAGCCGCAGGGAGCTTCTTGGAGACTTAAGAGCCACCCAGCACCATGAAGGGAACCCCCCGGACGAAGTATGCCAACATCTGGGGAGCACTGCAGACCCACACTGCCTAACCCGTGCTCTTAGCCCCTCGTGCCATCTTTGTCAGCATGCGAGGGCTCGAGCGTCAGTGGGAGACACTGGTGGGGGCCCTGCAACCACCTTCCATCGTGCATGCCCCCCGCCCACCTCCCACTCCAGCTCTTTCCCCATTTCCACTTGCCAGCACTTTTTCTCCGATCTTTTGTGACGTGGGCCATGCACCCAGCAAGCGAAAGGCATCGTGCTTTGCAGATGCCAATCAGCCACCCAGCTCTGGATCCAAATGGGGACAGACTCACTTGGCAGCAATTGGGGTGTTTCCCGCCCCCCTCCCCGAGACTCTGTTCTTCTTCCCAAGTCCATTCACACTCAGGACCTGGGTCTGTGACGGGGCAGAGACGTTTGAATGTGAGGCCGCGCTGTGCCCGGCCGCGGGAAGCACCCCCCAACCCCCACACCCAGCGAGTGTAGGTTCTGTTCTTGCCTTTCTCGTTGAAATAAAGAGAAAAAGAGAGAAGCACGCAGAGACTGGGGCAGCTACTGAGGTTCCTGCAGATGGCGGAGGTCGTCTATTGCTTTATCTCCTTGTGTTTTGTGCACAGGATGTTTCTCTGTTACTGAGATTTGGGGTCAGGGAGCTGGCACGCAGTCGCCTCCTGTGTTCCTGCAGGGGGCCATGAGTGACGTGGGTCAGAGGCCCGGACTCTGTGTGTGTGTGTGTGTTGCGGAAATGCAATGAAACAAAATGTTCTAAATGTGTATCTTTTTCTTTTATCATTGGTGTCAGGTGCACAGAACAACATAGTGGTTACACATTTATATATTTTGCAGCTGCCAATCTGTACTTCTTAATCCCTTCCCTTTGTCACCCAGCCCCCCCTCAACCCCCCTACCATCTGGCAGCCATCAGTGTGTTCTCTGCATCTAGGAGTCTGTTTCTGTTGTTTGTTTGCTTATTTTGGTCTTTAGAGTCCACAGATAAGTGACATCGTGTGGTGTTTGTCGTTCTCTGCCTGACGTATCTCACTCAGCATAACGAGACCCTCTCGGTCCAGCCGTGTTGCCCCAAATGGTAAAATGTCCACGACATGCTGGCTGCCTGATCGTCCACGGTCCTGAGCCCACCCCGGGACGGGTGTGGATGCACGGCCCCGCCGTGCCCGCGGCTGACGTACACACACGTGCGAGGTCTGCCGTGTGAAGAGGCTGATTACTGAAGGCTGAGCTCAGCTCACAGGTGAAGGTGTAACCCCGGGAATTGAGGGCATTTCCTGGGACACCCCTCCTCACATGGCCGTCCCTCTGTGTGTGTCTGTGTCCTCACCTCCTCTTCTTATAAGGACACAGTCCTGTTGGGTCAGGGCCCACCTAGTGACCTCATGTTACCTTAATCCCTTTAGCAAGGGGGATTAAATCAAGGATCTGAGATAAGGCCGTCCTGGATCAGGGGGGCCCTGAACCCAGTGACAGTGTCCTTCGCAGGGACAGAAAAGGAGGGACACAGACACAGAGGGGACGCCAAGTGGAGACGGAGGCAGAGATGGGGGGGAGGCGGCCACTCGCTCAGGGACGCCTGGAGCCCCCAGGAGCTGGACGGGGCAGAAGGCACCGTCCCCTGGGGCCTCTGGAGGCAGCGCGGCCCTGGGACACCTTGGTGGCAGCCTCCTGGCCTCCAGGATGGGGGCAGGAGGATGGGAGGAGATGGCTTTTTGTTCTTTCATGCTGCCCACGTTGGCATCACTTTTTACAGCCACCCCAGGACGCTCACACACTGATGACACCCCAATTCCAGTCCGACACGGCCACATTCCCCCCACAGCCCTGTGTTTCCTGCTGTGGGGTCCTTTCTCCAACGGGGAGAGCGACCAGTCACCCCCATTAAGTGCGTGCGTACATTAGCTTAAGCCCAGAGCCCACAGAAAACGTTTCCGAAAGCTTGAATTATGGTCGCCCAGCGTTTACGTGTGTGTCCAAAACAGAGCCATAAAAACACATGCTCAGAAAACCCCCCAGGAGAAATCGGTTCTCACCGTAATAAAAAGTTCCACCGTCCTTTGGAAGCACAAATCAACGCGTCTTATCACCCGTGAGACAGGGAGTGACAGATGCTTTCTGTGGCTGCTTCAATTACGCAGGAGAATCAATTTCGTTTTTAACAGAAAAAAAAATGTAAAAAAAACATTTTTTCCCCCAGACATTTTCCAGGCCTGGTGAAGTGCCTCTGGTTATTTGGGAAAAATAGGTCGTAAAAATGTCTACGTTTGGTTCGCATCACTGCTGACTACATTTTCACATTTTCTTCAATTAAAAAAAAGAAAAAAAATCCCTTAAGTCTACACATGGTGCCTAGGCATGCCTGCCAAAAATGAAAGCAAAAATACCAAAAAAACCCCAAAAAACAAAACAAAAAAACCCACCCCAAAACTCACATGGATTTAAGAGGTGCTGAGCTTCTAGGTCTAAGAGGCAACGAGTCTAAAGTCAAAATCACTTTTTTACACAGTCCCGAGATGCAAAAGACAGGTAAGGCACGCACGCACGCACGCCCTCACCGAGTCCCGTTTTAAAAAGCCTCGGGTCCTTGCGTACACAATTGTCCCAAACAATTAAATTTTATAGCCAGCGAGCAGGCGATTTCCTATTGCGCTGTGTACCCAAACCCCGGGTTCCCGTCCTGTTTACCTGATTTACCCGCGGTTGGTGAGATCAAAAACCCCATAAAGAGGGAATTTTCTATGTTCCCGGCAAGCCGCCCAGACCTCACAGCTGGGTGGTCTTCTCCGCCTCTCACGGTGGAAAGATGGGGTTTTAGCGGGAGGTTAAGGGCCTTTTCATTTCTGCCTCGTTGGCGTGTGTGTGTTTGCACCTGAAACCCCTCGCCGGGCACGGGTTGTAAACGTCTCGTGGGTAGAGGGTGTTTTTCCCACAGCAGAGGCCATGGGCTGCCTTGGGCTCTCACCCACGGCTTAGGAATCTGGGCGGCCCCAGACTTTCCGGGGTCCTTCAACCATAAACGCCGACCGGGACTGGCTGATCCCCTCCAACGACGACCCCCGGCCTCCCCCCCAAAAAAATGTATAATGATTTTCTATTTACAAGTAGGTGTTGATTCTGTCTAGATATGTGTGCACCTAGACGGTGACCTAGGCATTGTGTTCCGCTGCCTAACAAATTGTTGCAAACCTGGGGCACCAACTACATTCGTTTTTTCGGATACAATGTCACCAACTACATTTGTTTTTTGGATACAATGTTCCCTCAAGGGGCCTGCTTTCTGCTTCTCACGCCTCCCTGCTCCCCAGGCGCACAGATACAATGTAACATTGTCTTCCTTCCTCTTAGGCCTTTGGCGGCTCATCTGATGACTGGCGGGTTCGCTCCTTGCCTTAAATGCAATTGAGTGGGAACCGCTAACGCCACCTGTAAAATCTCCTCTTGCCGCACAAGGCGACACGTCCACGGGTGTGTCCTCAGGGCGAGACGGTCCCAGGGGCCAAACGCATGCCCGTCACAGAGATGGCAGGTAATGCTCCTTTTTTTTTTTCTTCCTGCATCGCCAGGTGCCCACCGTGGTCTACTGTAAACGCCCGTCTTTCCACCTCTGCCACGATCACAGTTTTCCCCCGGGACATATGGACATGTGTCTGCCCTGCTGTCACCCTTTTCAGGCCTTGTCCCCAATCCTTCACGTTGAAAACCACTTTGCATATTGATATCCGGGAGCAGAAGCTGCTGCCACCCCCTCTTTCTTTTTTCTTTTTTTCTTTTTTCCTTCTTCAAAAATGTCTCGCTCCTCTTGTCTTTGACGAGGTTCGGAATCACGGTTCCACGTCCCTGAGAAATTCCCTGCAGGTGTCACCCTAACGTCATCAAGTGACTCTTTCAGCCTTTATGTTTCTGTGGAGAATCGCGTCTGCCTTCCTGTAAAAACATGCAACTTTCTCGGTAAAAGACCGATATGGGTCTGGTTGCATTTCTTCCCGGACACCGTCCTTTTTGTGTCTGTGTGGATGTGGGCCTTCAAAAATGGGCCTCGCTTTACACGTACGGGGTCTAACTCCTCGTTGCTTTTCTACAGCAAACCTGCGGACACTTAGGGGGCAGACCTGTGTATGTTCCGTGTAGACAATCACATTAAGAATAACGGCCCTTTCGGTTTGTTTCAACCTGGGCGTCCCTGTTGTATTTTTTTTTTTTGCGCGGGTGACAACACCAGGTGTTTGAAAATGTCATTTTATGCACGATTGAGTGCCTCACTTCCCGTTAATTCATTATGATCTGCCGTGTCCTCAGGCAGGAAGGGGACAAACTCCTCTCATGACACCCACGTGCATCCTATAGTGACATCCGTGTGGCCGTCTACTGGGACGGAAGACAGTGAGAGTGGTCTTGGGAGCAGCCTGGACTCCTGGCTCTGAAAAACCAGCAGAAAACCTTGCATTCTCCCAGCGCCGTAAACCACCTTTGTCCATAAATTCGTGTGTTCACTCACCGCCCCCCTCCCCGCCCCAGGAAGAGGGCGCCGGCCCCTGCGGCAAATATCCCAAGAGTTACGTGGGGTTGCTGCAATTAGATGCGAAGAATTTCTGGGCTTCTCAGTGTGGGAAACCCATGAACCCCATCTTCACCTTGTGAGGGTGCATTGCCTTTTATTAACATGTCCCCATTCCCCAGGACATATAATATTTTGGGAGGTCTTCCCCACACCCCAACTGATGCACTAGACGGTTTTCAGTGTGTCGGCTGTCAACGATTGCCTCCGTCCACACGTCTGTCAAATAATTCTTGTCTGTATGTCACAGTCTCACCCGTCCGTATGGCCAAATTGCTGCCTCAAATTCGTATCCGATTGGCCTTCCTAAGTCCCAAGCTCTGCGTGGCCGGAAAGGTGGAAAACCGGCATCTCTGTTTCAGTTTTTATTTCTTTAGCCAGGCCGCTCGGATTTACTTGTCAAATACGTATTAGCTGTTAATGAGCATTTTCTTTGTTGGAAAGACGGGCATATAGGCATTTCAAGCGCTCAGCTTTGCAGACAAGGGGCCCTGCCCGAGCTGTCACCCAGCGTGTCCCTCTGATGTGGACCCGGACTTTCAAAGGGAGGTGAGGTCCTCAGAGGACGCCTGGACGTGAAACAACGTGGCTCAGGGCAGCATGAAGCCCTAGCCCCTGGGGCCACATGGACAGGAAGCTTTCAAAGCAGCACACAGGCCTCTACCCAGGTGTGGCAGCCACGGGTCCCCGGTGACAGATGAAGTGACAAAGGGTGGCCACGTAACGGAACCCCTGAGATCCAAGCTTCTAGTGTTACGAGTTGCTCAGGTGACAATAACGTCCCCACGATGGGCGTCTGCTGTGTCAGGGTCATTGTTAGAGTGTCAGCCACACCCCAAGCCAGTGGGTGACCTGAGTCTGATGGAGGGTTTGGGACAATGTCTCAAAATGTGGTGTCAGGCGGGGAGGGCCACATGGCTGCAACGTTGTCAGCTTCCAAGTGGTTCTTAAAGGAACCTTTCTGTCATCATAGCTCTACAGGAAGGTTCGAACTGGACCGGAGACAGAAAGCTTTCCTCCACCCTTTTAGGTTCTGTGCCCAAGGCCTGCGAACTCAACACACAAAAGACAGATTAACAAGACAAAAAAAAAAGCCAACAGAGTTGATCTGCGTGCAGTGTGCATGCAAACAAAATTCAGTGACACATGTACAGAGGG